CAGAATATTTTTTTTTTACAGATTTTATACTGTAGTCTAGAATACCTCATAGACCCATATTTATCACGGTAAAGCGGAGGAAGCTAGGGCCAAAAGTAATGAAGTTCTATAAAGATATTTAAACCAAAATAACATAACATAACATCACGTCTTTTATCCCTGAAGGGGTAGGCATTAACGGCACTTACGCCCAAATACTGAACGGCTACTCAATTTAAAGTTGTACTTAAATATCGTGCCATCCCTTTCGTTTTACAAATAATTTGTAGAGACAGAACTATACTTAAGCGCGACTTATAATTGAGGAGCGTTTCAATATTCGGGCGTTAATGCCACTGTACAATGTAACACCCATTTTTCACTATCTATGTTATGAGTCCCATATAATAAGGGGTGTGTCTATTGGCATACACCGGGTGCATTTCCAGACTCCGCGGTACTACTGAGATTAAAAAAAAAACAGTGAAACCAAAACAAGGAAGTATGAAATAAAGGTCTTCTAAAGGTCTTCTGTTAGTCTTACTGAATTCCTGACAAAGTTTTGAAGCCTTTCTACTGTTTCTGAGAACAGCTCAAACATCCAACAATATTTTATCAAATACTTGTGTCGGAAACACTCGATAGCCGCTAATCGAACAATATCACTAAGATTTATTTTTAACATATCATATAATCATATTTTTTATTTTACTACTAATTTAATTTCAATCTTATCATTTCTCGTTTGGCCGTGAACTCCTCTGAAGATTGTGAATATTTTCGTAAACAAAACAGATCATTATTTTGTTAATTAGTTAGTTATTTATAACAGTACTAGCTACTGTCCGCGACTTCGTACGCGCAATCCCGTTTTTTCCTGATTTTCAATATTTATCTGTCTTTTTAAGACCTTCTCTTAATAATAACAAATACAACAAAAAAGAATTACTGAAATTGGTCCAACCATTCACGCATGATGCCGTGACCAAGAAAAAAAAACATTTTTATTACAGACTATGTCCCCTTAAGTAAACAATAAAATAATTCACAACAACTAAGTAACTACGAATATTTTTGAGACATACAAAATAAATTATAATTATTTTTATCTTACTCACGTAATTAATTGACGACTCAAGATGAACACGACAGTCGCTGCGTCGTGGGTCGGGGGAAATGCTGCTCTTGAATTGCCTTTAGCATGGCTTGAAACTATTCGAGTTCTTTGTCAAATAATTACGTGAGTAAGCCGGAAAACACAATAATGAACTACAAGCCTCTTCGGTGTCTAAGAAATTTGAAGAGCTTTTGTTAAACTCGATGTTTCAAATTGCTAAGTAATGTCCTGTTTTAATGATTTTTTATATTAAATATTCTCTAATTCTATATAACATAACATCACGCCTTTTATCCCCGAAGGGGTAGGCAGAGGTATACATTATGCCACTTTACAATGTATCACCCATTTTTCACTATTCATATTACGAGTCCCATGTAATAGGGGGTGAGCCTATTGCCATATTCCGGACACAATTCTAGACTCCGTGCTTCTACTGAGAATTTATAAAAATCCAGTAATACTTTGCCCGACTCGGGAATCAAACCCGAGACCCCTTGTTCGGCAGTCGCTCTTGCGACCACTCGGTCAACGAAGCAGCAATTCTATATATAGATATTCATTTGTGTGTAACAATTTTGTTATAAATATAGATATATTTTTTTAAAACAATCCATTGCACCATTCTAGGATTTTATCCTGTATCGTGCTTTTATTCACAAACATGCCCATACACATGACACCCAGACCTGAATCACAAATCTGTGGATCACACAAAGTATTGCTTCGTGCGAATATCGAACCCGGTCCACGTTACATGACAGCCGGTTGCTTAGACACCGCGCTAACTGTACAGTCATAGCTATTTACAATTTACAAAACTAAACATCATAATTATGTCCAATAATTAATTTCATCGAACGAATAGAATTCTTGATTTACTGATTCCCAGTATTTAGTAATTTGATGTCTATTTAGGTAGCAATAAATTTTAACTTGAAAATTTAAATGCTCAATCCCACTATTAAGCACTTATGAATACCGTTGGGCTTTTCGATTTCAATGCTAGCATGAATTATTTCAAAATTATTTTTGACTAGCTTTTACCCGCGGCTTCGCTCGCGTCACAAAAGGATAAAAAATAGCCTATGTGACATATACCAATACATACAGCGCCATCTATGTACCAACACTTTTGTTTTCCCTCGGGTGAGTATGAATTTTTCCGGGATAAAAAGTACCCTATTATTTAATCCGGACTTCTAACTTTACGTCTGTAAAAATTCAAAGCAATCGGTTTAGTAGTTACGGCGTGAAGGCGGAACAAACAAACAAACAAACTCACTTTCCGATTTATAATATTAAGTAAGGATAATCATTATTATAGAATCACAGCAAGCGAATATTTGATATAAGTATTTATATAAGATCATACATCAACAGCCTATAAATGGCCACTGCCGAGCAAAGTCTTCTCATACGGAGAAGGTTCGAGCATTAATCACCACGCTTGCTCAATGCGGGTTGGCCATTCCAAACTTATAATTAGAAATTATAAGCCTAGGTTTCCTCACGATGTTTTCCTTCACCGTTTGTCAGTGATGTCTAAATAATCTTAGAAAGTACATATAACTCTTAAAAAGTCACATTAGCGATTGCCGGTGGTCGGTTTCGAAACCGAACCCTCATACATGAAAAGCGAGCGTCTTAGACCTCCAGGCCACCACGACGAAATAAGGTCGATTAATATAAGGTCACTTCTATGTATATCCCTTCGAATTTATCAAAGAAAAATCGACCGTGAACATAACACTAATAGTGATTACGATCATTTTACGAACTCAAAAAATCTTCTTTCTGTTCAAAATTACAAATCCCAAGACACCTCCCGATTTTCCCTAAGAGTGCTCTTAATATTCAAACCCGATGTGATCAATACTCAATGAATCTTATACATAACTTGAATATCTTGTTACAAGAACAAAGATGTTTACAGTAAGTACGTTGAAACTAACTTAGGTACACTCGAAATTAAAAAAATATATTATCTACATTTTTTATGGTATAAGCCGGTAAACAAGCAGACAGATCACCTGATGGTAAGCAATCGGCGTCGCCCTTGGACACCTCTGGAACACCAAAGGCGTTACAAGTGCGTTATCAGCCTTGGGGATTGGGGAAATTGGGTGAAATTGGGCATCCGGTGACCTCACTCACACGATGAAACACAACGCAAGCGTTGTTTCACGTCGGTTTTCTGTGAGGCCGTGGTATCAATCCGGTCGAGCCGGCCCATTCGTGCCGAAGCATAGCTCTCCCACATTTTTCCCGTTATCAGTTTCCGCGGCGCAGTTACGCTTCAGACTATATACAGATTACCCAAAAATCCAAACTTAACAACCTGTGAGATTAGTTAAGTCCTAGTAATGATGACAAGGTAGTATTATCTTGCATTTTCTGTCATAATTATAACGGTAATCCTAGTGTACCTATTCAAAACTAAAAAGACTCAAAAATACATACTATTTCTGTAACCACTCTCTATAATTGCTTGAAATGTAGTTGCTGGACAACTACATTTAAATACTCGATCTTCGAAAATCTAAATACTTGATTAACATATAAAATATATCTCCAAGTTTAATGTAGTGGTTATAAGACAACACCTTCAAACCTCTTTATGCCTAAATTCCGGTGTAAAAATAAAAACCTTAGAACTGATTTTCCCTTACCTCTCTTGACTCAGTAGTCCAATATCAACTCGATTAATCCTATACCACACCTACATATCTCGCAAGTGAAGTTATCACGAGCATTGGGAGCATTCCAATAACCGGCCATGTTCCGGCCAATCGTTTCGTCTCGACCACGTAACATGTAATATTAAGCCATTTTGATTTTTTATATTTTTAATTTCTCCGTGGAACGTGATATTTTATGTGTGTGCAAGGATTTTTTAGTTGTTACATTTATTATTAATTTAATAAAAAATTTAATACCTCTAACAAATTATTATTTAATTAAAATGTAAAAATCCATTTCATTTTCATTCAAAATCATTTCTCTGCAATATAATATTAAGTAATATAATTTTTCTAATTTCTATTATAGGTAATTTTATTCAAACATGCTTCAAAGTTGTTAATTTAAATCAACTGCTATAAATAATATAAAGTTTCAATTTGAATGATAATTAAACTGAAACTTTTTATAATGGACTATTAGTCTTCAATTACAAAAGAAATTATGTTTAATTATTTATAACTGTAGACTGGAATTTAGAACTTATATGGTTCGAACTTAAAAAAACTCAACAATAGCGCAGTTCTCAATTCCAGCAATATCAAATATTTATTATTTTTCTCTATTTTACACGTAAAAACTCCATCGCGTAAAAACACAACACATTGTTTCAAAACTTCCATTGAAATCTAGAAACTTCATTGGAGTACGCACTTTTTTATTTCAAGTACCAGATAATATAGACGTCATTATCAAATATTGTCAGAGAACAAGAATATTATTATCAAAGGAATAGATAATCAGCATAAACTGTCACCTCAATCAACGAGGAGGAAGTCCTTCAAAATTAGATTTAAGCACGATTCCAAATCCGAAGGAATAAAGCTGATTTTGCATAAAATCGATTCACAAACGAAAATTCAAAATTTAATTCGGATCCCGATAAACAGCAGAAACAATCTAATCCCTCGTCGAATCGACAAAGAGAAATAATGTTCGAATTACATTTGCAAACGCATTTAAAAAAAAACCTCCTCAGCTCACTCCATTACCGTAACCAAATGGATCTTCAATTCATTAGCTCCAGGAAAGAATTCATTAATAAAAAGAACGTCGACATAATTCGATTTCCCGTTTTTCAAAACAAAATTAATGACATCAAATTGCCAATTTAAAAAGACAATATTTTTTATCGAAAATCACATTGAAAAGGAAAACTCACCTCCGAAAAATGTCACTAATAAACATAAAAACTTCATTACTCCTTGGGCTAACATTTTTCACTATATGAAATACAAAAATCACAGCACACTTATTTAAATAAAAAAACAATTCAAACTTGTCAACCGAAAAGACGTTATATCAACATGTTAAAGACGTTATCATGGAACGATTCGAATGCGAATTTGGAATTAGGCGGCAAAAGCGCGCGAGCAACGTCTACTCTCCCCCGAGGCTAGTTGGGTACTGAAAGTTGGGAGCGCTACCTGACTAGGACGTCAGATGCGTCACAGGACAGAGAAATGCGAACGAATTTTCTTGTCCTGCTTAAATTTTCGGTTGAGATTTTTTACCCTGTGGTTTTATGGCACCCCCGTAGAGACTAGTACCCGAAACGATTCATTTTGGTGGATTTAAATGACAATTGTCTATCCAAACGCCAGTTATACCTTACGTATCACGAATCCTCATTTTCCGTTGTTTGTACGTGTACTGCCATTTAGGGTTCGATTTAATGATTTGGAAGTCAATTGTTTCTAAATTACGAGATTTCGGTTGCTGTTTTAGGATTTTCGCTTTGAATAAATTTCTGTACTGACCTAATTGTTCCGTGCGACTGTTTTTTTATTGGTAGGGCCTTTTTAACTATTTTAGGACAATACGTGTACGTCTATATTTATATCAAGCTAATTAACAGTAATATAACTGCAATTGTAATGGTGATTAAGCAATTGAGTCAAATGAGTTTTAACTCGGAGAGTACAACTGTTTTACAGTGAACTGGTAAGTCGATATTCTACATAATTATAATGTTCCCTTCTGATTTCCAAGAACCGAACCCCAAAAATTGGTCCAATAATTTTTCTCGCAACTGTACTAACAAAATATCCAAACGATTGATTGAAATAATAAAGTACAACCTAAATACAATTAAATAGGAACCTACAATAATAAAAGTACTTTTCTGTATTTTTGTTAAAAGTTACTGAGCCGTGGGAGTTCCAGCAACACACTTATTTTTGCCAAAAACCAGTATGTTCCGGTCTGAAGGATATGAGTGCCGCTGTAATTAATGGCACATGAGGTTATGAAAACTTCAGCACTGACTTTCAACCTTTGGACACCAACCAAACACTAATAGGTACTTTAGTGAAAAGTAGTACACCAGTACAAAATTCCACATTACCTAATATTATACTTAAATGTGATTTTATTAATATGTGTATGGTTATTACTCAAACACGTCAAGACGTCTGAATGTATCGGCATGTAATAAGTACAGGGTTAGATTATGATTTCCTACCTTGGGGTAAAAGAGGGTAGATAGTGATCTGGAATAACACATAGGTTTTTAAACCCACGAGGATACACGGGCAAAGCTTGTTTTTTATACAAAAAGGCCAACAACCATATATTTTTTTTAAGGGGGGAAAATCATCGAATGACTTCTCCCGCCTGGGTGAGGCGGGAGGGAGTGTCAGACTTTTACTGACTAAAAACCACCCCGTTCCTTCTCCTGCACGTCGAGTCGGAGCCCCGGTTACCCGGGTATTGGGCCCCATCTATGGTGGTCCGATGGCTCTTTGAGGCGCGCGCGGAACGCGACGCGCCGTACGCTCGGGTCTGTCTGGGTTTCTGGTCGGACGGGGAGCCACCCATGCTCGCCGTCCGCAGGCCCGCGCTTACAGTGGCCGGAGATCGTCTCGCGATTCCCAACGCCCGGTGTGTCCTTCGCGATGGCTGGGTTGCGAGAAGGCAGCGCTTCGCTGCCTCACGCGTCCCGCCTCCTCCTTAGCTAGCATGACTGCGTCGCAAAAGGAGGAGACGGCATCCCAGTCTCCCTCGCTCCGCATCATGGCCTGCACTAGGCCCGGACGCGAGAGGTCGCCATCGCCGATCACTTCCCAGGCCAACAACCTTACGACACGTCAAAAGGAATGTTTCTATTGCAAAACATTTGCTTTCAAAACTGGTACTTTATTACTTCGACAACCAAAGGAGGGAATTTCACAGTACTCATACCCACTCTAAGCTAGATATGTTATAAGAAGAAACTATGGAATAGAAAAGTTAATAAGTAAATGGGGCTACCGTTTCTTTGTTCACTACATGGCGCTAATCTAAAAAAGTATTTTTGTCGAATTACTGTAGCTGTCAAAAGTTGAATGTCCAATTATGTGACACTAGCTAATTCTCTGTTGGACGAAGAACGAAACGGCCCTTTGGTGAGTAAAAATACTGTAGGTCCCACTGTGAGACTAAACGAAAACCTCAATGTGGATAATTACACTATTAGTCATTTAGGCATACCGTAAAATGGTCCTACTTTGCTCCAATATTTGCTCCAAAGAAAGGGAATTATGAATATTGTTTAAACTATTGATTATGAAACATACTCAGATGTATTAATTTAAAGAATATAATGTTATCTAACATATTTTAATAGTTAAATTAACGTAATTAGGTATTTTATAATATATATAAAACTATGAATAAGGAGCAAAGTTACCCATGTTTATGGGTAACTTTGCTCCTGGGTATGTTTCACTAGCAATCTCCATTGTGGAAGCTTTTTGAGCAAAGTTATACTTGCCATATTCAAACTATGCTCCAGTGATATTACGCTTTACCTATTATGGATAGTATTAATGGTCGAAAAATGGGTAAAAATGAAAATAAACCATATTTTTTGAAGAAATAATGTTATATTCTTAAATTAAGTTACAAAATCACTTTCTTTGTTTTTTTTTTAATATTCTTAAATTATATCAGGCACTGTTCTATCTTAACTAGTAACTTAGGTTACAAATATTTAGTCTTTGGACAAAAATCAGTCAAAAATAACGAGATCAACTTCTCAAAAATGAAAACATATAAAAATAAAAATATTTATGAAAATTTAACATATTTAAACTTTATACTTAATAACCCCAAGTATTGTCTAGTTCAGGAACCGAATATATTTCACGACGTGAACTAATCTTTTTAGGAACTTCGATACATCCCAATATATCCTGCCAATCGTATTGAATTTCATCGACGGGTCTAGGCCACGTCCAGGATTTGAGAGACTTTTTCATTGAAGATATATACGGTCCCTTTTTATTAATTTTTGTAATTTTTCCTGGAAACATTTCCCCCTCATACATGAAAACTACATATTGCCCAACCGCCTTCACAACTGGTTTAAAATTGCTTTTTTCATTACAAATTTCGGCCGCTCTATCAGTGTTAGCTTCAAGATTTTCTAAATCTCCAAGAGAACAAAGATCAGAAGAATCATGAAGTGACATGTCGATACTTTCTGCGTAAGAGCTTTCGCTATTGGCTCTACGGCAACATGGTTGCTTTGAAGTTGACGGCTGAGTGAATTCTTCATTTTCTTTATCGTCCAAAAGTGTGCTTAATTCTTCAGTTACACTTTTTCCAGGAGTTATCTGTAGTTTCCTGCGACGTCCTCTTGTAGCTCCATTTGTCGTCCATTCTAACCTCTTAGCTTCAAGACTCTGTAGAAAAGAGTCTTGCAAAGCAGTCTGGTCAACAGGTGTAGGCAACCTCTCTAACAATGCATTGGCATCAAGTGGATAAATTCCACATTTTCGAAAACCTGAAACGAGGTTTACCTCCCGCGTCGGTTCCAAAATATCAATGAGTCGGTTTAACAGAATTGGGAAACTGCTTTTTTGAAGTATTTGCTCTCGTCTACCTTGAACACTTGCCTTCCACTCGGTTAGGATTTTTCTCCACGCTACCTTCATTGGGTGGAAAAAAGCTACATCTAATGGCTGAGTTAGATGAGTGCTGTTAGGTGGCAAACAAACAAATCTGATATTATTTTTGTCACAGGCACTAAGGACGTCTACAGAAATGTGCGATGACAAATTATCTCCTATTAGAACTTTTGGACCCTCTTGTTTATTTAATTTTGGCAAAACTTGTGTAAAAAACCAATCGTTAAAAATATTCATATCAAACCAACCTGATGGGCTATTATTAAATCTCGCACCTTTGGGCCCTTGTTCCGTCCATGTGCTCCATAGTTGCTTAGATTTATATACAACATACGGCGGTAATAATTCTCCTTTAGCACTTCCACAAAACATGATAGAAGTTGAACTTTTGGAGGTATTGCTTATAAGCTCCGGGTATTTTGCTCCTCGCTTCGCTATTACTTTTTTTTGACCAGGGTCGTCGGATAAATTAGTCTCATCGAAATTCCATACATTTTCGGGCGGTACATCTCTAACCACCTCTTTCAAGTGTTCTATGTAAGCAGTGATGGTATTCTTATCAATGGCTGCTCTGCTGCGTTTAATATTGGTCGCAAATCTTTGTGACAAACACGAATGTCTTTTTAAGAAACTTGATACCCACTCAGAACCTGGACAATTATCTCTAAATTTTGAAACTCTCCTACCAATTTTCTCCAAATATGTTTTAATAACCATTCGAAGATCGAAAGTTGTGAGAGGAAAGCCGTACTCACTCAGCCTTAAAATGCAGTCGACAAACAAGGTTTCCTCTTCACTTGAAAATGTTGTTGGTGCGCCGGGAGGTCGAGATGGCAGTTTAGATCGTTGAAGTCTTAGCTGATTAATAATGGTTCTCCGTGGGATGCCGTATTTTTCACTGGCCTTTCTTTGAGTTAACTCTTTATTTTCAATTGCAGCCAAACATTGTCTTAGAGTTTCGTGTGAGTAATTTTTATAATTTCTTGACCCAATACGTTTCTTATAATTTCTTGGCATCTTTTCTGAAAAATAAATAACAATGTCGTTGATAAAAAATGTATTAATAACCACTTACAATTATACTTATAATTATAATATAAATTATAATTATATATTTGGGTTTACTTTGCTCCAGGCGCAAAGTTACCCCAACGTACCAACGATAATATAAGCACGCCAAAAAAGTGTGGTTAGATTACGACCAAATCAGCAATTCAATGAAATATTTACATATTCGTTTACCTGATTATATACATAATAACATAAAAACATAATTACCTTAATGTGCTATGCAGATTTCAGGATGAAAGTGGCTTTTTCTGATACACAAATAATAAAAATTTTAACGTCTGGACTTCAGCTGCACCTGACATAAGAGAAAAATGGCGGATGAAAAAATTGCCAGCTTAGTGCTGCCACTTAAATGTCAAATGTTTCGGATGCGTTCACATTTAAATGAAATGTTGCACCGATTTGATGATATTAACCGACAAAACA